TAAGTACTGATCTGCAGGTAATCTACAAGCTTCCCAGTGAACTTAAGCCAAGTTTCTGCTAGAATCTAAATGAGCAAAAAGTGCCCCAATCTGAGTCGCTTCCAAAATGTGCCATTAAAAAATTTGTCAATCTTGGGCTGGCATTTGTCACTTATTCATCTTCTTCCTGGAACCCCAAAGCATGCTCGGCTCAGCTCTTTAATTTTTTTTTTTTTTATTAATTACATGTTGTCAAGTCAATTCTGACTCATGACATCTCTTTCCAGAATTTTTAGTTTATAGAGCGCTACAAGCAATTTCCTTCTTCTGGAGGTGTCCTGGTACTAGATAGCTTGCCAAAGACTACACCAGCTATCTCTTCTCCTGGGATGCTCACTGAGGAATCAAAATCCAAACCACAAGTGGTGCCCCGCATAGCGATGATAATCCGTTCCAAAAAAATCGTCGCTATGTGGATTCGTTGCTATGTGGGGCAAAAAAGCCCATAGGAACGCATTAAAACACGCTTAATGCGTTCCTATGGGCTGTAAACTCACCGCTACGCGGAAATCCTCCATGTGACCGCCATTTTCGCTGCTCGGTAAATGAGGAAAGGGCGTGAAAATGCTGCAGGCGGCCATTTTAATTACCCGGCAGCCATTTTGGAACCGCCGATCAACTGTTCCCAAAACATCGCTATGCGAAAATCGGTAAGTGAAACGTTTACCAATCATCGCAAAGCGATGTTTTCGCATTAGAAACATCGCTATGCAATCGCAAAAAGGATCCCAAAAACACATCGCTAAGCAGATTCGTCGTTAAATGAATCGCTCATTATGCGAGGCACCACCGTACTGGCTCCACAGGCAGATATCCAACTCACTCAGCTATTTAGCCAGCCCATTTAGCTCTTGAGGTGGGTGGAACTGGTGCACTACTGTAGCCCAAGAAATGCAGTACCATTTCTCTTCTTCCAGTACTGCATCTGGGAGCCCATGAAGCTCTCACTAATGGCAGCCCTCGTTTAGGATTCAGGAACAGAAAATAATATATGAAAAAAATACCCCTGTACCCAACAATTATTACTGAACAGGAAATCTAATGTTGTGTGAGTTTCTTTGCATGATGACGATGTCTATTCCTCCCGGTTGCACTCTAGAAAAATCTGCAATGGAGGGTTCCTAAACTTCCAGAACACGTGTTGAGTGGAGGCAATGGGAAGGAAAAATCATCCATCTCTCTTTTGCTGTCAGAAGCACTACTACCAGCAGAGGAAATTGGCTAATACTCTGAGACTATCTAGGCTTTAAGTTGTGGTGACCCACTCACCTGAGCAACTACTGTACTATAATAGCTTAATATATCAATTATGAGTTTAGTGTCCCTGCACCAAGAGCTGCCTTCGGTCACATACCTCAATACTTAAGCTCAGTACAGTAGGATATTATAGGCTTGAGGTCAAAATAGGATGGCACTCTGAGAACATATTTAAAATGGGTCCTTCTCAAATAGTGAAGGGTGCTTGTCACAGGACACAACGTTGCTCATTTATGTATCTTGCATCTAGAGCGCTCTGTTTTGTGATTCAATATCAGAAGATAAATGTGTTTAATTTACAGAATTGATTAATCAAGGCACAACAACCTAAAAATATCCAGCCAGAGGAGAAATGGACTAATAAAGATGAAATATGTATTCTCCTTAATATCAAGTTTGCCTCTTACTTCATCTGGTACCGATCCCTAAAATATTCCTGAATATGGCCCAAAGTGTTACAAGGATTTTGTTAATGATTCTGAAAATAGTTGACACATGTTTAGACACTTAAATGACTTCAACTGGATGTTTCAGGTAGATTTTTAACAAAACTAGAAATTAGATGAATCTTTGTGGCACAACTTTTGTGGCAGAGCAACGGCCTCTAAACACTGTCTGTCTGTCTGTCTGTCTGTCTGTCTGTCTGTCTGTCTGTCTGTCTGTCTGTCTGTCTGTCTGTCTGTCTGTCTGTCAAACCTATATACCACCCATCTAAAATGTGTCTACTCTGGGTGGTTTACAAAAACATAAAAAATAAACTAAAGGTAAATATCTGAACTATGTTTTGCCTGGTTGTAATGGAAACACCGCATTCTCCCTGTTTCCACTGGAGCAAGCTACTCAAAATGATAATTTAGTCTAATTCCTTCAAAATCAAATCAAACAATAACAAGTACGGTATGTCAGCAACACAAGAGGAAGAGAAAAAGGAGGAAACAGACAGAAAGAAGAGGAAGAACTTTTAACTCCACCACTGCCACCCAGAACCATGCCTTAGAAGAAGAGTTATAGCCACTCCTCCTTATATATCTATACAGTATATGCATTCCAGACACCTTTATACAAGTTAAAATTCAGCATTTCTCAATAAAGAATATGTTCATATGCTGCAAAAGGAGTTAACTCTTCTGATTGTTGAGGGATCAATGAGCCAATCAGAAAGGTTTGTATCGTCCATACAGAATGTGATTATGATTGATGGTACTGAAAGCCACCATAACTGGATAATCCAATGGATCTGCTCTCTACATCTCTCTCAGTACAGCCCATTCAATGTGAGCAAGGTCATTTCTATCCTGAACGCTATCCAAAATCAGGAATGAAATGGATCCTGGATAACTGTTTTTATCCAAAAGCACTTGGAACATCACTCCAGCCCCACTTGCTAAGAACAGCATGTTTGTGATTAGAACAAAAGAGCTAAGAGAAGACTTCTTTAATAGAAGCTTCATTGCTATCTCCTTCAGAGCAATAACGAAAGGCTAACATTAATATGTCATGGCCTCTCCTGCATTTGGAAGGACAACTGGAATGTAGGGGAGCCAACAACTCCAAATACTTACACCACATATTCAGATATCAACAACTGAAACTCAAATAACACAACAAGCAGCAGCACTGGACATTTCTGCTACAGCTCCTGTTACTAAATCAGAACCCAAGTCAGAACTATAAATTGAATCTTCCCCCCTCCCCATGAAGTATTCTGCAAAGCTGTCTCAGCCTCAATTAAGAATTCTTGTTGTCTCAGAGGGATGGCAGTTAAATGGCAGCAAACTTTTCATCACTGCTGGAAATTGCACAGATAAGTCCATGGCAAAAAAGGGACCTTTTGTTACTCTCAGAAGCATGAAACAGGCATCCAAATGGGCCCCAACCCACGCTCAGTTAGTTGACAACTTGTGAGTCTATTCGCATTCTGCAGATTAGTCTTACTGCTTCTTGTCCTTACTTCCCATGGATGCTTAGTCTGCCAAGACAGAGATTGCATCTAGGAGCTACTGTGGAGCTTCTTAGTCTCGCAGCAAAACAATGTGCACAGACTACCAACTCTGTAGAAGCTACAGGAGCCTGTAATTCTAACCTTAACTGGGGAGTTGTTCTTAATAAATGAGTCAAAGGCTTCCTTGCCTATTGATCTTGTACATGTTATTTCATACAAAACAGTATATCCACATGTTTAATACACACAGCAGATCCTAAATCTAACACACATAAGAACGGAGTCATGATCATTATGGAAACTGTACAACATCTATTAAGAAGTTCTCAGACAGCGGGGCCCCAAACACTCTTAACCTGGGTCTCTGTAATATCCTACCTGGAATCCATCAGCATAGCCAGGAAGACACTTAAGTAGACAGTTGGACACCAACAAAATCTCTTTTCTGCCCAAACCATTCAGTTTCAAGCACAGAGATTCAAAATGGATTGTATTGGGCACCTGGTAAGGGAGATTAAACCTTTACTACCAAATACCCCCGAGTTCCTCTTGTACAAAATACTCAGCTGGCAGCCACTGGGCCCAAACATACCATTTCTTTTATCCAGCCAGATCCCCGTAGCACACACAAGGTCATTATTAAATATAGTTCACCCAGGAGAATGTTGATGGAATGTGCTGCAAGCATTCCCTTACTGATTGCTTGTCTACATGGAAGATAAACCAAAATGGCTACAGCACCTCTGTAATTTGCACCTCTGGACCTTTCTGAGTTATATTCATTTCATACTGAGCCATGTAAAAATAATTCTATTCCAAAATAAATGATACACTAAAAACATTAGGTGTGAATTACACCTGTGGCAGTTATTTCAGTTCTAGTTTCCATTAAGGTGGATTAACATACTTGTAACACACAAGCCCTTCCAAGAAAAATTCAGGCCAGGTCACAGCCTGTAGTTTTCCCCCACATTCTCCCATTTTTCAAGCAGACACTCATATTTGTCCCAGGAAATATTTCAATATGAAGTTCAGCTGCTCCTATCGGCTGAAGCCAAAATATACTACCATATTCTTCATCCCAAAGATCCTTAAAGTCGTAAGGCTGTGAACTCTTGACTATCAAGCATTTTGTGGTTGATTTTGCAAAAGGACCCACCACGAGTCTGAATCAACAATAGCATTTTCATCTTCCTGTCTTTACCACCCAGAAGCCCAAGTATGGTGCAGACCCATGTGAGTGTGTGCACACAATTATATCATATTCAAACCCATGTAAACATATCTACTTCACTAAAATATGAACTAAGGGACTCAGGTCAACACTATACCATGTGTGAAGTTTAAATAGAAGGCCACACAATTTTCCACACCAAATGAAAACTGATTACTGAAGCTGTATGTCCTTTCATAGACATTTTTGGAATCAAAAGATAGACAGACCTAAGCACAAAGGTAAACATTTACTATTAATAGCTGCAGACCTAGGTCCTGTTAATACAATGGATTACTTATTACCTAGGAAGTGTTTATATTCCCGCTCTTACTATTAAACATTTCACGTAGTAGTTATTTTTGGCTGCATGTCCTTGGCTTTAGCAAAAATGTACCATTTTTGCCCATGAAAACAAAGTGCCCAGACAACCATATTTCCCCGATGCTGGCAACAGTTTCAGGCTCTGCTGACAAGAGCCAATGCTTCTCTCAAAATGCTTAGTGTTTCCGACATTTCAAAATCTGCACCGAACTACTTTGCATTTACCTAGTTCATCCCAGAGCTGCCTATATTTATCTGTCATTGCAGTTCCTTGTTGTCTCCAAAGAGACAGCCGAGGGTCAGCCATGAACTGCTCTGTTATCAAAGTCAGCATTCGAGCACCGTTGGAATCTCTCATCTTTAACATCTCTCGCACCTAGGATACAAAACAATAGTGCAACAGAAACAAGAGAGTGTTACAAGCAATGTAATCTGCAAACACTGAATATATACACTGAATATATAACAAACACCCCTGTCCTAGGGTGCTTGTTATAAATAATTGTTCATTGTTTAATTTATTTTAATTGTTTAATTTATATACCACTTTCCTCCCAAAACAATTATTTTTAACAAACAGCCTAGAATAGGGTTAGCAAACCTTTGGGACTCCCAATGTTTTGGATTTCAACTTCCACAATTCATAGACTGTACAGATAATGATAAAAACCTGTGGGAGTTGTAGTCTAAAACATCTGGCATGCCAAAGGTTTGCCACTCGTGGGGTAAGAGAACCCTTGAGGATTAATAAGTTTTATTTGACGTAGGTTTTGGGGACTTTAGCCCACTACATCAGAAGCATATGTTGTAGTGAGCTGCAAACGATAGGTTATTAATATAAATACAAGTTAGTTTCTATTTGTTTGTCCATTTATTATTGCATTAAGTGAAAATGACTCCACAGATCTGCACCAAATTTGGAGGGTGGGTTGGGATGGTTTACTTGAGACACAGGCACTATGCAGTACATGCAAATCGTTTTGGGTGCCTCGAGGCCACACCAATTAGCTTCTCATAAATGGGTAGTTCGATTTTTATCTAATTTGGAATGCATGTTTGGGATGGTCTAACTCGAAATAAAAGATATGTGCTCAAATCAAAAATCACTTTAGGTAGCCCTTCAGGGGCACCTCAATTATTTTTGTTGCCTATAGATGTTGTCTATGATACATCATTTTAAAAAGTTTGATAAGGAAAGATCAGAAATTTACGTTTCAAATTATGCCATAGTTTTAATAAGCAGGCTAGATAGTGGTTTAGGACTCAAAACCAGAGATTGGGAGTTTGATTCCCCACTGTGTCTCCTGCAAGTAGAATCATCCTGTGTGGCCTTGGGCAAGCTGTACTGTCCCAAGGTACCCACAGAAGAAAGGAATTGTGAACACCTTCTGAGTATTCTTTACCCAGAAAACCCTGAAAAGAGTTGCTGTAAGTCAGAAGTGTCTTGACAGCACACAATTATTGTTACTATTCATAAGCAGCAGGGTTGAAAAGTTCATTGATTGGGAACTAAGCTGGCTGAGGAACCTCATGGATTTTCATACTGCATCAGAAGAAGCATGTATTGCAAGTATCATTATTTGCAATTTAAAATTTGCAGTTTGCCCTCTTACTGCAGAAGGGGTTATGTCCACATCAGTTTAGGCATACTGGCAAAGAAGTATGTGCACACACATATACTTAAGAAAGTACCCTTCAAAATGATTATTCTTCTCCCTCCATCATTCCATAGGCTCTGGAAATTTTACGGGTAGTTTTGAAAAATAGATTGAAGAAATGTAAGAGCCAAAAAGCAAAGGATTCTGCTTACGTATCGTCTCAAGAGCAATGTCATAATTGTCTGAAAATTGCTAGTCAGGTGCACAAAACAATCTCATCCAACATGTGTTACATCACTTTAGTACTAAAGCACTGGATTTTTGCAAGGTCATCAGCTACAGCTATTTGAAGCCTTAGCAGATTGGTTGCTGCTAGTGTGTTCAACGTGACAAGTGCCCTGATTTGGGTTGAAAGGCATTCAACAATCTGCCATACTGTATGTCTTGTCTGACATTACATAATTCTGACACAGCCAACCAGCAGCATAAATGTTGCAATTCCTAATAACAAAATGGCTCTGAATTCAGATTTTTACTTTGTTACTGACTGCTGTTCTCAACATTCCAGTTTGGTTCACATCAAATAAGACAATACAGTATTACTTCTGACTATAGACATGGGGGCTTCATATTCATATACGAATATGTGGCTGATTCGATTACCCCCGCCCCCATCCCAGAACATGCTGGACTGCTAGGCATGTGCCCGGTGTCATCTCCTGCGACGCAATAGCGGCAGTAGCATGGCTGCTGCAACCCTGCCTCCCTGCTGACTTTGCCACTCTGGCAAGGACAAGTCTCCCTGATCAACCGTGGAGTGGCCAAGTAAGCAGAGAGGTGGGGCTGTGACAACCGGGCTACTGCTGTGATTGGGGTGCAGGAGATGACGTTGCCCATGTGTACCATGTGGTAAGTGGTCCAGTGGGTTCTGGGGCTGGGTGGTAACTGGGCTGACCACCTCTGCCGGCAGGCTTTGTATTCAAATATGAAGCCCCTATGTCTATCTGACTACAAATATTCCTATTTTTTACTTGACATTTCTACTTCATTGAGTCTAAATACCATTCTTGTATAAAGCTTATAGCATGGAATTGCATGATCAGATTCACCAGGGGGAATTAATTTCATGCCAAGATTATCACATTATAAACCAATAGTTCCCCATCTTCCAGAAACCTTCACCACTAGTTGTGCTGGCACGGATTTCTGGGAGTTATAGTACAAGAACATCTGGGGAACCAAGGTTGGAAATCACTGCTATAGACTTTCCCCCACAGCTATTGTGTAAACAATAGACACCTTATTTATTTAATTTATATCACACTCTTCTCCCGAGAATGGGACAAATGTCAGCTTATAATAAAATTAAATAAAACAGATAAAAGAGAAACTGAATACAAAAGGTAAAATAGAGTTGAAAAACAAAGCTGCCAAAAGAAAATACAGCATTCATCAGGGCTAAAAGCCCCTATTGCAGCAAGCAAGGTCTGTTACCCAACACCTACTTGAACAGCAAAGTATCTGTCAGAGGATGGAAAGACAATATAGAGCAAGCCAGCATTGCCTCCCTCTGTACGGTGTTCCGAGGTCTGGGAGCAGCCACAGAGAAAGCAAAGTAATGATCTGGGGAAACTACTTCATCTCATTCTGCTCAAACTTTCCCTTGATGGGACGGATTTAACTCTCAGACGAGCATTGCTTTGACTAAGCCACCACTTTCCAAATGTCCAGAGCAAAAAGCCCAAGCCCAGAGCCATCTCAACAAATTATTCCTTTTTCACACTAGATTTTTTGTCTGAAGAAATATTCCCTTGAATGTACTGGTTTTCTACTGCCAGTTCAAAACATGTGGAAAGTCATGAGTCAGGCTTCAAAGTTGCAAGTTTTTTTTAAAAAAATGTTTATGGGGTACACTGCATGCCTTTGTTTGAGTCATTAAGGGACGTCACAGCCACACTTTCCATGAAACAAAGGGAACTGGATTTATTTTGGAAAAGCCTTTTAGCTTCCATTTAGCAGATCTGCAGGCTTCAAAGATAATTCACAACAAAATGGTGGCAGACTGAAAAACAACTTAAAGTGACTCTGATGTTATTCTTCTGAGCAAACACCATTTTCTAATAATGCCAAATTGCATTCTAATGACCAGACAGTAACATCATACGGAAGAAGGCGAGCAGTCTGTGGAGACTTTGGAATAAAGGGGAATATTCGTAACAACCACACACATATATATATCTTTCAACCTACCTTTGCAAAAAGCAAGTTGAGCTGCTTCCCTGAACCATGGTATCCACCCTGGGAGAGAAAAAGTTTAACCTGTTCCTGGACTTGTTCTTCATCTAGATGCCAGCAATTTTCATCATCTATGCTAGCACCAGCTGTTGGATCAGGAGCTCCTACAACAAGGGTAAAAAATAATAATAAGACTGGCTTAGTGGACACATTGGGATAATACTGCTTCTGCCGGAAATATAGTACAGTTATGGATTATTCTTGAAACAACCTACACTGTGACTGCAGCTACGCAGGCCGAATTCTGAGTGCTGATATTAAGACTGCTACACACAGGCTGAGGGAACATGAAGAATTCAATATGCACTGCTTTTAGAACAGCAAGTGACTTGAAAAATTATGTATGCATTCACAGAATGTCAGAACATAGCATCAGCAGCTGAAACTCAATATGAGCAGCAGTCCAATAAGAAGTGACTGGGAGAACCACTGCTCACTATTACAGCACACATTTATCACACAGGAGATACCAGGTTCAGTCCTTGGCACTGCAGTCAGAAGGTTCTTACATGTGAGAAAGACCTCTGTCTGAGACCACAGCTGGCTCCTGTGTGAGTCATGTCGCCAAACACTATGCATGTTAAGCATTATATTCCCAAGGCCAAGTAGATGTACATGGGATGACAGCAAGCAGGACATGAATCTGTGTGAGTGGTATTTAGAAGAATGCTACGACCATCCTTAGAAAGAGTCAGTGATCACTAGGGAAGGAAAAAACAATTGCTGAATTCCTTGTTCTCATTGACTTAGAACGGTGCTTCCCACCCTTGGGTCGCCAGATGTTCTTGGACTGCAACTCCCAGAAATCCTGACCAGCACAGCTAGTGATGAAGGCTTCTGGGAGCTTAGTCCAAGAACATCTGGGGATCCAAGGTTAGGAACCACTGACTTAGAGTCTGTCTCAAAATCATGATATTTTTTGCTTCTAACATAATGCATGACAAAATGTTCTTTTCCTACATCTCTGTAATTTGCACATAATTTCTATAGTGCCCTTCCCCTTTGAAAAGCAGAGTAAATAGGCAAACACAGAAGGATTAACTGTTTTAAAACATGCAAAAATCCACACAATGTTTCAAATTCCTGAATCCAGTAATCCTAATTTGGGACAACTTGCAAAATTGTGCAGTTTTCCACATAAATGGGTGTATTTTTGCAAAAAAACAAAAACAAAAACAAAACATTATTCTCACCCATGTGAGAACTGTTTCAAATTCCTGAATCCAGTAATCCTAGTTTGGGACAACTTGCAAAATTGTGCAATTTTCCACACAAATGGGCGTATTTTTGCAAAAAAACAAAAACAAAACATTATTCCCACCCATGTGAGAATTGTACAGTACCAAGATACCTGAAAACTGCACACTATCATTGCCAGTAAAGAAAAATGTTGTAATTCTTGTAAACCCCAAGTGAGTGCGAATGCAAACCCCAAATTGGTGTAATTCTTGTAAACCCCAAGTGAGTGCGGATGCAAACCCCAAGTGAGGGTTTACGTCGCCACTCATTACCTTATTGGCAGTCACTTCTACATCTTGTGGCAATGAGCCCATAGCTTAATTATACACAAAGTACTTCCTTTTATCTGTACTGAAACTGTCATCATCCAGCTTAATTTGATGAATCTAGATTCTAGTATTAAAATGAAAAAAACTTCCCCAATCCATGTCTGCTACACATAATTTTACATGGGAGGCTTCTGTCATATACTCTACTTTCATTTTACTGCTCTTTCTTCTAATGCAAACCACACCATATAATGTAATCTGTCCTCACAAAGATTTATCCTAGTTTCTTGCTTATGTTCTTCACCAGTTTTTGACCTTTTCCAGTTCCTATGAAATACTTTTTTAGAAATGTAGAAACCAGAACTAAACACAGTAATCCAAAATGGGTTGTACCACAGATTTTGTAGATGCATTATTTTTGCAGCTTTGTTATACATTAGGGCAATTGGGATACTGAAAGAATGTGCAAAAGCCAAATGACATTATTTCTGGCGCTTTTTTTCTTACAGATGTACGTTCAATAATGCTTTATCAGACACATTTATTCTCCAAGGATTTCAAGGAACCCGACACAGCTCTTCCATTTATTCTCCAAGGATTTCAAGGAACCCCACACAGCTCTTCCTTTCACCAATTTCTCCTCAGAATCACCCTTGAAGTAGAAAAGGCACTACGAACTGGCCAGCAGTCACCCAATAAGCTTTACCACCAGGAAGTAATTTGAATCTGATTTTCCTTGGTTTTTGCCCAATACCCTACAATGGTGAAAAACTGCTTCCAAATATAAACTCCTTATTACCATAGTTTGAAAGAAGATTTAGAAAAAAAAACTGAAGTTCTGTATCGTTGTTTCCAACCCAGCACCAAGCAGGTGTGTTAGACTACAACTCAAACCACTCCCGGACAACATGCCCAGACGACAATGGGAGATGTAGTCCAAAATTGGGGAGAGAGGTGGGCTACAGAAGGCTGTTTGAGCAACATATTCCATCTACCTTTCCAGAAAAGCACTTTCTGCTGCAAATCTGTACTCTGGAATGTGGCAAAGATGAACTATCACAAGCCCCATCGGAAAGGACCAAACACTTACGTATTTACAAATATTTATAAACTACTTCTCTCTAAATATTTCAAAGTGGTATTCAACAATAATAAAATATACATTACAGACAATACACATATACATAAAAAAATACAATCAAACCACATGAGACTTTGTTAGGTTCCTGAATTCTTTCATGAATGACACATGGCTAGATATGCTCCAAAACCATAATTTTCTAGATATAGTACTGTGAATTACAACTCCCAGAATCTCTGATCATTTTGTAATTGTGTCTGATATTCTGAGAACTGTAGTTCTAGATCATATAAGAAACCATATAGGGAACTACTTCTCCAACAGATCGTTGCCAAAAACCTGGATTTAGTGTTGTGTGTGAGTCTGTATAAAATATTCTGTGTCTGCTTCCCCCATAATCATGTAAACATGCCTGAAAAACAAGAAGGGTTAATTTTTCCAGCATTAGCACTGGTATAACTGTAAGTCATGCCAATGCAGAATATCAGTATCTACTTGCTATAGTATTCTAGTGCTCCGTTGCCAAAACAAGATTAAGGAAAGTCACTGGAACAAGAACTGAAAGAGAAGACCGCCTGAAAATAACCTGAAAAAAGAGAGTCCAATGGAAGTGAAGATACAGACCAGTGAAAGTATATAACAGCAATCCTAATACGTCTAGAATTATCACAAAATGCTTAGATGGCACTGATCATACTTGGTATAATACAAAAGAAATCTAATTATTTCATTATTATCATTTCTGGTACTTCCATCTAAAGAGCTCTGATTGGTTTACAGAGAAGCCCTCACCCAGCCAAGACGTGCTCAGCTTTTTGACATGGGGATTCATGAAATATCTTCAGAATGCAGTCTAATTATATATACTGCAATAATGCACACAAATTTAAAGAAACAACATTACAAATAGCATATGAAAATGCTGTGGGATTAAGACAATTGCTGCACTGGGAACTTCATATTAGAAACTGAATGTAACATATACAGGAGAACACTCCCAATTCCTTTTTTTTTTTTTATAATCCCCGTACCAGCTGAGAGATTCTGAAAATGATAATCGGAAAACCTAACTTCTCTCTGTTTGGATTGAGTGTGACAAAATGATTTGAACCATATCAGAGTGGCTGCAACGACCAGATAGGTGGGATACAAATAGAATGAATGAATGAATGAATGAATGAATGAATGAATGAATGAATGAATGAATGAATGAATGAATGAATGAATGAATGAATGAATGAATGAATGAATGAATGAATACTGTGTGAAGGAGGCCAGACTGACACAAAGAGACTGCAATTGAAGAACCTGGATAGCGTATAAAAAGGATCCAGCTAGCCAAGCCTTCTGTTCTCAACTGTGGCCACCCAAATGTTTCCAGTAAGCCCAAAGACAGCAGAGAAGCAGTCAGCATTCCTGAAGGTTTCATCTACACACCTCTTTATTTCCCTCTGCTTCTCTAAGCTAGCAATTTTAACCTCAAGGGAGCAAATACTGTACATGTTCTGTAACATCTAGGAACTCACTGTAGTAAGCAGACAACCATGGTTTCTGTCCTGGAGACAGTCAGACTCGCAATGTATTATGGAAAACACTAGCTATGCCCTTGACCCTTGCTGGCTTTGGAGTCTGCAGCCCAGTAACACCTTTAAGGTTTTTACATTTTAAGAAGCAGAGCAATGCCCTAAGACATTTCAAGATGCCTATGATGCCTAAAGCTACCTGGTGACTTCACAGCACATTATGTTTTTTTAACTGTGGGGCAAGGGACTTCCAAGTTCATCATGTGTTACTGTAGCTCCAGATGCCATTCCATGATACTCCAGTATTCTTTTTAACGAGGAATATACATATCCTATCACTTTTCTTGGAGGTTCCTAGCCAAGAAATTAGGAAATTAATTTGTGCTTGTTATTTTATGCCAGTTGGTAATTTCTGAAGATCCTATTTCAGTTTCCATAAGAGATTTCAATTTATTTGTTTGGTATGTTCTGTAGAAGCCTTCCTTTCCACCTAAGGCTACCTCATGACTGAATCCAGAGCTGTTCCAGAATCTTTTCTTAGAGCTGTGATTCTCCCTCTGTTCTCCCAAAAGGAAAGTCCAACTTCTGAGGAATTATGTTTAATTTTGGCTGAACAAGAAACACTACATCATGCTAATATGTCTGACAATGATACCCAATCATCAAAAGGTTGGGTTCATTTTCTAGCTGGAAATCCAAGCTAGGAAACTTGGGCAACTCTCAGGGATTCTCTACCTCTGAATTACCCACTTTGGTCTAGAGGAATTACAAGGTCCCCTCTGGCTCTGTACACGTTGAATGCTTAGCACCCACACACAGAGAATTGTAGAATCATAAAATAATGGAGTTGATAGAGGTTTATAAGGCCATCAAATTCAACTTTCTGTTCAATGCAGGAATCCAAATAAAAGTATATCTGACAGATGATTCTCTAATTTTTCTTGAATGCCTCCACTGTTGGATCACTCACCACCTCCTGAGGTAACTGGTTCCATTGTCATAATGCTCTAACAGTTTCAAAGGTTCTTCTGATATTGAATTGAAATCTCTCTTCTTTTAACTTAAACCAATTATTATATGTCCTGTACACTGGGATGACTGAAAACAGAGCCTACCTCTTCTCTATATGACTATCCTTCAAGCATATGAAGAGTGGTACCATATCTATCCTTAGTCTCCTTTACTCAAGGCCAACGATGCCCAGTTCTTTCAGTCTGGCAATTATTCAAGTTGGAATTATCACATGCCTCTTCGTGAAGGATGAGTGAACAATTGTCATGTGTGTCTAGTCAATGTTTTAAAAAATTTTAAGGTTGTGTAGCTTAGGTCTTCTTGGCATGCCAAACTATACATGGCAACTTTATTAAAATAACTAAACAATTATATTTCAAAACTGAAGGCTGAAATGAATAACGCCTTCAATTCATTGATTATGACTCCATGTTTCTGTAAGATACATTAAGGTTGGGAAGCCACCTGGAATACCTTAACTCACCAATGGAAATTCAATATGGGTCACAATTAAAATTTAACTGATACAAGATACGTTTTAAGTGACAGAATTTATAGTGGATTAGCCTATTAAAAGCATTGCAATGGCATTCTAAAGACAGAAGTATGAGGACTCCTAATGTAAAACACATGCAACATTTTACACTTTCCAGGGCCAGTCAGTGCTATCTTCCCCATAAATGCTACAACATGAGACAATTATCTGACAGAATCTACTCGCCTGACATAGCCAAATTGTGTTTTAAATCCAGATACACAGGTAGCTCTTCATTTTAACTGTCTACTGAAGAGAAGTTCATGCATAGAATTGGAACAGCCATGTCAGACATGTCAGTGTAGCTGCCTCATTGGCTACATAACTGACATTCAAAAGCAACTGTTGTTACTCCTTATACCGTTTTAGGTGGGAAATCTCCTAATATGCTACTGCTACACATCAAACATTACAGCATTCCCTAAAAAGAACTTGCAATTTACAGTACACTTTACAAAATCAAAAACTGAAATATCTATCTCCTTCAGTCTGATTGGCCAAGAAATTAGAGCATCAACATTCCTAGTCACATGATCTATTCAAGTATTGTTGCTTTTTAAAGTAAAATCATAACCTCTACATCTTATATGATTATATGAAAGTCATCTTAATATATATAAAGGCTGCTTCAAATGTTTGCAATTGGCAGCAACCTGTGCACTACTACATCATGTGACTGCACATCATGAACGTGACAACATGGTATCTCATCTTGCAGAATGTAATCATCTCTACAGGATATAACATGTGCATAGGAGTCTGGTCAGTTCTTTACCTCCATGGTGCTGAAAAAGAGTTGTGGCTCAGTGACAGGGCACATTCTCTGCATGAAGAAGGTTCCAGGATCATTCCCCTATCTTCCAGTAAGGGCTGGAAAAATTCCTACCAGAAAATGGTGGAGTTCTGCCTCCACTCAGTGTCAATAATACTGAACTAGTATTTTTGAGTCAGTATAAGGCAGCTTCCTAATCCAAATGATTTCAAAAGCCAAGTTTGCCATGTATCAAACACCCGAGGGTACAAAACGTTTTCACTAAAACTTACTTGTTTTTATGGCATCAATACTGTTTCTAAATCATGCCTCATCATCCTTTCCCAATGTAAGATCCCACCTATGCAAAAATCCCTCATTTCCTTTGCCAGCTCTACTGTAGCACCAAATGTTTAGTTCCCCATTTCCTGGGCCACAGGATTCCCCTGCCATTCACTGACCAAAGTCTACAGTGTTATTCCTGCGTATCACTGTTTAACCCCACCTCACCTCCCAAAATCCTGCACAAATCTGAACAACATATACATCTTCAGTTTGGAAGAGTCATTTTGTGGAATGAGGCACTTGAATGACATTATTCCAAAAAGTAAACAGTCCAACTTTCCTTACAGTGAGGACCTCACTAAGGGCACATTTTTTGGACAATGTTAATTTAAAGAGATCAGAGACTTGTCAAAAAATCCAGAGGTTTTATTTCTCTGCCATACTGGAGGAATGTAAATTCTTGCTAAATTCCTCATTTTTGTTGATGTAGGGTTCATTGACATGAGACACCTATATGAGAAATGTTCAAACTCTGCAAGATTTCTTACCGCCATTGTGACAGCCAGGCATTACTCATGAAGGTTTCTGAAATTTATGTAAAATTGTTCCACAGTAGTTTGCACAAAACAAATGCACACAGATATGCAGACAAAGCAAGCAAAAAGGATTAGCTGATTATTAAAAAAATAGGAAAGCAGCCCACCTGATTCTTCAGATTTTTTTAAAGTCCGTGAAATAAACTATAGTTTTCATAATTTCTCTGAGATTACTCAGCTTGTTCAAACTGTGCAATTTGTGTAAAATAACTGAGTTGCTATAACCAGAAAATGTTTCACTTTCTTGTCAGTTGATAAGAAAAAATGACTGTAAGGACTGGACAAGCGAGGATTCCTCCTGTATTGTTTACGGTTATGGCATTCTTAACTAAAATTCAAATAGATTTAGGTTCAACTGCTGCTTCTTAAAGTATAAGTATAAGATGTGTCTGGAAGAAACAACTCTTCTCTTCCTTGACAAAATTCTTGATATTCCTAAAAAGTGTTCAATGTGTTTCAGTTTCCGAGAAGGCTTAACAATCTTCAGCACAATAACTAAATGCAGCCTATTAAGTCTCATTTTCAGCCATGTCATGCAACTGAAGAATGCTCTGATTACTCATAAATACTCTGAGAACCCTGATTGAGAAAGGCAAAAAAGCCCAATGGGATTTATATCTTGCTTTCTTCTTTCACTCATCTTACACCTATCAGTTACTCACTAAACATTGCTCTCTCCTTGCCAATGCTACATATTTCCTTCTTCCAGACATAAATCATGTAAGGACTCACAGAGAGCCATACTAGACTGCACCAAAAGCCTTCCCAGTCTAACATTCTGCTCATACAGTGCCCAAGCAGTTGCCTCTGGGAAGTCTACCACAAGGATCTAAATGCAACTGCATTTCCCATCTCACATGTTTGCTGGCAAATGACCCACAAAGGCATGCTAACTCTGATAACTGAGCCGACATATAACCATCCTGACTAGCAGCCAATGACTGCTATAACCCCCATGAATTAATTTAATCCGCTTTTTAAACTATCCAACTTGGCAGCTATCACTACATGCCATGGCAGAGAATTCCACAGTTTAATTATGTGCTATATGAAGAACTACTTCCTTTTATCTATCTGGAATGTCCCACCGTTCAGTTTCAGCATATGACCCCAAGTTCTACTATTGCATGAGACAATTCCACTCTTCTTCTTAAGCTAAACAGTCCTAAACATTCTAACCTTTCTTCATACATACTGCATGTCAAGTTCCCTTGGAGCACATGTCCTGTGTTGTCACTGGAGATCCAAGTGGTCTCCATAACAAGGCACACCTTGTACAAACTATGGCTGGTTCAACCAGCTGATGCCATTTTTGGATTGTGTCTGATGGCTATGAACCATGCTCTAACTACGTCGTCATCGTCATTTAGTCGTGTCCGACTCTTCGTGACCCCATGAACCAGAGCACGCCAGGCCTGGTTCTAACTACATAGTTTACCCAAATACTGTTCTCCATGAAGCATGCCACAGTAATGGCATCAGGCATATCATTGTGGATTTCAAAGTATTGCCTTCCTGCCCCCTAAATATTTAAGTACACTGAATCTACCCTTTTCAATCCTGCTTCTGTCCACTTCAGCTCTGCCAACTCCGCATGCAATCCAATACTTATTTTCTTCCACTATCAGCCTGATCTAACTGTTATCCTTCTTGAAAAGATGAGCATTTTCAACTAGCATTCACCATATAAGAAATTCAAGTATATCTCTGCAGGGAACATCTCAGTAAGCCTGAACTCGAATGCATTCTTGAAAGAAAATGGAAGCTGCAAGACTTCAGGAGGAAACTAACTCACCGTGAACTTGATTGATCTCTGAATTCTGAGAAAGGATTTCATCTGCTAATTTCTGAGCAGTTGGCAAAACTTCTGTATGGTGCACTGTGATCAAATACTGTACAAACTTTTGTAGTTGGTCTCTGTTCATTTGAAAGAGAGTCTCTGAAATGGGAAGATGCAGTTTGACCTGATCTGGCTTGCGGATCCGGTATAAAGAAAGTGCCACGACATGGGCACAATAAAATATGTCTTTGTTTCCACAGCTACAGGTCACTGAGGTAATCTTGCACCGATCAAAGCTGATAGCTACATTGCAAACAGTTTCTGGCTCCAATTGTGTTGCAGGCTCGGTCACTGTGCCGCTTAGGTGGAAACCTGTTCATTAAAAAAAGAAGAAAAGGACAGTTCAGTGATGCTTTTACAGCTTCCATTTTAAGTGAGCAAAGCAGCTAAGTTTAACAAGTTGAACGTAGTTTTAAGCAGAGACTGCCATCACAGGCAGCAACTGTGGTCTTCAGCAACAGCCACTAAAAATCACCCAAGACACATTGTGTATATAAATAGTTTCACACACACAAAGTGGTAATTGTGGTAGACGATGACTACAGAAAAAAACAGGAAACAGACTGAACACACCAAGCCTCCACTACTTTAAGACATGCACAGCAGTACATTTTCCAGCTCCGCAGACAGAAAACACTATTTGGAACCTCCCATCAGTGGAATCTGGCAAGATTTTACAGCTGTAAATAAATAAATAAAGATGGAATCCCAAGGCTGTGTTCTCATGAACAAAGTGAACTTTTTGACTGGGGTAAACAGGAAAACTTTTTGACTGGGGTAATCAGGGGAAAAAAAAGAGCAGGCCTTAACTTCTATGCTGTACTGTTCATTTATACTGATATATACTTAACCACTGAGGTAACCCTCAACAGGAGGGTCATACTCATTTCTAGATGAGCATAAACCTGTATGGTGCATACAGACTTAGATATATCAAGTACATACATGTTTTTAAAAGATATTTATGCATGTGAAGTGGTCAGGTTGTAAATATGGATCATTTCCTTGTTATATGCATATGTATCCAAAATTAATAGGTTCCAGCCAGCAGAGCATCTTTTTGCCAAAAAATATATTTATTTCTCACAGGCCTGAATGTGCTTTTTACTGATTTTTATGTACACATACTTGGCCACTGTATTTTTAAATAAAACACCCCTCTCCAGCATCAGAAACACATGGTACACATTTTGCATGGCCATTATTACCACACAGCATATACACCTGTCCCATGTTTGAATGCCCTCATAATTTCACAATAGTGTAGATGTACTCAGAGGCAGACTGTGTATTTGTCATAGGTGGGTAGACAAATATTAAAAGGTGTTTCAGCAAAAAACAAAACAAGCACAGTACCAACAAGACTCCTGCCTGAAAGATAACATTTTATCAATTTTGTGTGCTTAAAGCACTGTACAACACAAGAGCAACATGAGTGATTTAGGGTGTGTCTTGATATGAAATATATCCTAACACTATTGCAAGGCAAGGCAAGTTAATATGCAAAGAAAGCAATGAAGAGAAACAGAGCACTTCAATTTGATTCATGAGGCAACGACTCATTTTGGAGTGAAATTAGTTCTCTGGTTGCTGATAAGAGCCCAATCCATTTCCAAAGAGCCAGGAAGTAATTGCCTCCAGACCATAATAGACATTCAATAAAATCAAGACTCTGCAGAAAAAGCATAGACTTTACTGGTCACCATTTGAAATTCATCTTACTACTAAAGTCTACTTCGCACTAAGGAACCATTTGGTACAGTTTTGGTATGACAACAGTGACCAGCACCTTCAATTCCCATTCTACAACAGGAGGGGGTTTGAGAAGTTATGTAGTGAAGGTGCATATATGTGCAGGGAAACCAGAGGGAGGAGATTTCCCCTTCTCCCTGCAACTCAATGCCACCCGCTGAACGTTATTTCAGAGAACACCATGCCCTGCAGCAGATCTGGGGAGGCTGTGTGGGAGAGGGAACAGTAAATATTGCCTTTTGCCTTCCATCAATAGCATGTCCTGTGAGGAGAGTTTCACTCATGGGGTCAAAGGATCCAAGTGAACATCTACTAAAAGACAATTCCAAATCATGATGAATTCCGTTAAGCACCAAGGCAGACAGGAAGTCCCTGATAACACTAGTTTACACACTGGTAATCTTAAGGATTGACTATTGCAAAGTTGAGCAGCTAAAACTGTGTTCACGACCTGGGGTTCAAATCCCAGGTAGCCGGCTCAAGGTTGACTCAGCCTTCCATCCTTCCGAGGTCGGTAAAATGAGTACCCAGCTCACTGGAGGGGCAATGTGTAGCCTGCATAATTAAATTGTAAACCACCCAGCGAGTGCTTGAAGCGCTATGGGGCGATATATAAGCAGCACACTTTGCTTTGCTTTGCTTTGCTTCTCTATGTGGTGCTGAACTTAAGGGCAAAAGCCACAGCAAGCATAAAATGTGGTGGCCAAGCTGATCTCCTGGCTCACCTGCATTGGCTGCCAGTTAGCTTTCCAAGCCAAAGTCAAGGTACTAATACTGACCTACAAAGCCCTGAACGGCTTGGGACCTCACTACGTATCAGAATGCCTAAGATCAATTTCCCATGTCACTTGCACCTCCCAGGCTTTAAGGTTGCAGGTGGCAACGCCGAGGGAGGCCAGAAGTCTATGATTAGGAGCTACTTGGTAGTAGCCACCTTTTTGTGGAATGCTCTGCCTGTGCAGGTATGTCAGGACCCTTTCCTCCTAATATTCATAAGGCACATTAAAACGTTGCTTTCCAGGGAGGACACACACGCACACACACACACACAGGGGGAGTCAAGGATGCTCAGAAAATATTTGGAGGAGCTTGATGGAGTCTGGTAGGTATATCACCTATTGAGCAGTTCCTGAACCAAAATGTCTGAAGCAGAAAGAAATACAGAGAAATACAAAGAAGCTGTGAGAGAAGAAGGACAAATGCAAAGTGGAGAAGACATCGGCCAGCTTGCTATACATTATGTAAGTGATTTCATATATAGATTTTTACTTCTGGTCATTATTGTCTTTACTTCGGTAAAACTTATCATTTACAGTAATCTCAGGTAATAAGTACATTAGCTTCCAGTCAAGACAGCAGTAAAATGCCCCAGAAAACCACAGCGGAGAACAGCTGCAGGACAGGGAGCTGGGATGGTCACACAACACCAACTCCAACCTCAAGATTCCAACTGTCTGGAAATACAGACATACCCGGCTGCTTGGCTAGCACTGTGGTTAGGCAACCCTTGAACATGATTGAAGGAGCACAAGCAATGGCAATTCTACCACAAACTAGGAGCATCATGATAATGGCTAGACAGCCAGGCATAAAGGAAACAAGTGAAAATGTCTGAGATTGAAATGTGATTTGTTTGAGATGGAATTTTCTGTTCCCATTATAACCAGATGCATCTCTAATCGGGATAAAGAGCCAAGTGGTGATAATGTTTTTGCCAGAACTCCCATAATGTTTTGCTAGTACCCTGTACCCATCTGTTATTCTCTACTTCAACCTGCTAAAATTTCACATCATCAAACTAGCATTATATGTTACTAGGACATCCTGCACACTTGGCTGTCATCTGAAAAAAGCTGCTTAAAACCAGAATGTGCACCGAGGATTTGTCTCTTACCCCTCCAACTCTGAAATTCTCTGAATTTTAAAATTATAATTTTTAAAAGATGGTCCTTTTTAAGACCTTGTACTGACATCCAAATGCATGTGCCAGGCAAGACTACTAAGCATTTCTATTAACAAACAGACAAATAACAAATAAAATATTCACTTTAAACTAAGATGACGTTTTTTAAAAGCAGGACTATCTTCAGCACAATCCAACCTATAGCGATTCTAACAGTTTTCTAGGTATGTGAGAAACACAAGTAGTGGTTTTATGATTGCTACTGAGAAGTATTGGGTGGGGATTTGAACCTAGGTCTCCTGAGTCCTAGTCCATCACTCTATCCACTACACTGCACTGGGTCTCAATTCCATTCTTAAAAGTTTGAAAATATTCACACCAAGCATGCAAATCCCAGTTCAATTTATTGCACATCTGCTGATAAGCAAGACCTCATGCACCAGTTTTAAGGCATGCAAAGCACAGCTCTGTTCTCTGAAAGCATCTACAGCAGTGGTCCTCAACCTTTTTGGGACTGCGAACTGGCTGAGGCTCCGAGGAAGGCACCCCCCCGCAGGTGCCCGCAGGTGCGCACACTCTCACGAGCACATGCTTACAGCGGTGGGGGAGCATCCGCCTGCCCGCTGGCGTGAGCACTCCCCCCCCCCTTCGTGCATGTGCAGGGGCGCCTGCATGCCCGCCCGTGCACCCGTCCAACCCTTCACCTCGTGGCGCAGCGGTTAAATCGCTGTACTGCAGCCAAAACTGTGCTCACGACCTGGGGTTCAATCCCAGGTAGCGGCTCAAGGTTGACTCAGCCTTCTATCCTTCCGAGGTTGGTAAAATGAGTACCCAGCTTGCTGGGGGGGGGGGGCAATGTGTAACCTGCATAGTTAACTTGTAAACCACCCAGAGAGGGCTTGAAGCACTATGGGGGGGTATATAAGCAGCCCGCTTTGCTTTGCTTTCACATGGGTATTCAGGCACTTGGGCGCATGTGCGCAACAGTGGGGGAATGCACGCCCGCGCTGGTGTGAGTGCTTCCCCCACCCTTTCGCTTCATGTGAGCGCTCGGGCACTTGGGCACATGCATGAAGGGGTGGGGAGCACCGGCACTGGCACATGTACAAAGCAGCTATGGGGAGGGGAGTGTGTGCGGGGGGGCGGGAGGTCTGCCTTTGTGGCCTGGTCTGGCCCAGGCCACGGATCGGCACCAGGCCGCAGACTGGCGGTTGATGACCTCTGATCTACAGGACTTAGGCTGTGGAACAACTTTCAAGGCTCAGTTCTATGAATGTATACTCAGAAGGCTAACAGTGGTGCCACAACGCTACTCAAATCAACCCTTGAAAATAAGTGCATATTTTTGCTCACAAAAGGCAACATGAAATACTTTACTAGCCAAACCCTTTCAAATGCTAAGGATAGAGTTAGTTTCTCCATCCAAAAATGAAGAATCTCTGCTCTAATTTTTCTGAAAATGCTGGCAGATGCCTGGAAATCCATTACAAGAGTTAGACAGCATTCTGGCAGAAAGCAACCAACAGTAATAACAATTTCACCTCATTCTCAGAAGTCATGACAACATCTCCTCAGTAAGAGAAGACATGAACTGAATGAAATCAAACTTCCAATGGACATACTTCCAAAATACAGTGGTGCCTCGCTTAACGAGCGC